AATTTATGTGATGAAGAGTTCGAATTTAAGAAAACATCATTCTCCTTTACAATAAGTATATGGATTGTGAAGAAATTAAAATTATTTAGAAGCAATTTTATTATTTATCCTCTTTCAAGTGCATAAAGAACATTAAGTAATCCAAAGTTTGGTCCCTAGTTCCGTTGTCAGGTTGGGAGGATAACCACTCTTACTTTCGAGCTTCCACTTCTCCATTTCCTGAGGGCTAACAATCTTGTGTTAGTTTCCAATCAATCAGTCCAAATTGGAGATTTTAATCTGTCGCTTTAAAATCTCGAATTCTGCATTCAACAAAGTATATTTCCCTATTTATTTGCATTCAATTCCATGGATAATATCCTCACCCATGAAATTGAATGTAACTCTCACTATATTGTAAAAATCATAGCCCTTTCAGATATTATGTTTCTCAACACATTTTAACATTTCAATTGAACATTTCAAAACATTTCAATTGACCAGATTGAAAAGTAAATAAAGATCAGAGTTCAAATCATCACAAATGTTTGACATTTAAAACCATATAAAACAAAATTAATTCTTCACAAAATCATATCTCAGAGTATGAAGAATGATAAAGAAGACTACTCAGAATTCATGAGAATGATATAACAAAACACGAATTTCATATATAAAAATAAGTTACAAAACAAAGAAGTAAAAAAAAAACACAACTTATCTTACAATCATTCCCAAGTCAATCCCTATAAGTTCTCTTTGAGCAATTTTCATCTTTACAAACACACTCAACTCTCTCTTAGAAGTGTATTAAAGAAGAAACCTCTCACTTTCCCTCTCCTCTTACAACCCTAAAAGAGAATCTCCAAGTCCTTCCCTCTCTCTTTTCTCTCTCACGCCACCACCGAACCTCTCCTTTTATGCCCTAGACTTCCTTCTCTTTTATTAGAGGTTGCAACCCTCCAAAATTTTATCCAAAAGTCAACTATTTTGAATTCCAAAAGATATGTCTATTGATTCAAGAGACATATCTCTTCATTAGAGAATCTTTCAAAGTATCTAGATGCATTGAATCACTCCATTAGACGTTCGAAACATTTGGACCTTTCAAAATTCATGCAAAATTCGTCTCGAACTGCCTTAATTCATCATGTGTCGTCTATGGCGCTTCAGGCACCAAGTTACTTAAGTCCGCGCTGTTTTTGGGCTCTGACGCTTCAAGCGCCAAGTCTTTATATAATGGCCCTTCAGGCGTCAGCTCTCTGTAAAGTGACGCTTCAGGCGCGAGAATCACAAAATTTGCTATTTTGGCTTCGAATTTATTTGTTTTTATTACTTTTCCTCAAAATGCCTAAAATTGATATACCTGGAACAAAAGCATGAAAATACCATGAAAATACCCTTCCCCTTCTTTAAAGTGCATATCACCAAAAATAAGTATAAAATGTATACTTAAAACAACACATTATTTTGGTGTATCAATTACTACTACTCTCACCAAAGATTTCTTGGACCTAAATATGAAGTAATCTTTCTTTTTTATTTGAGCAGACAAAGATTCGGTGCCTGGTGGATTCACTTATATATTTTTTAAAGACACTCGAGATCTTACTAGCCCTGGTTGTATTGAATCTATCAAATATTTTTTAAAAATAGGCAAGCTCTTAAGAAGAGTAAAACATATAGTTATCACTCTTTTCCTCGAGAAAATTAATGCTCGTTTTCTTAATGATTTTCATCAATATCGCTCTGTAACAGTGTATATAAAGTAATCTTCAGATTTCTGACTGATAGATTGAAAGTCATGCTTCTCGACATTATCCATTATGCTCAATAACCATCATTGTTGGAAGAGACTCTACAAATAATATCATTTTGACAAATTGAGCTCCTTTTTTGTTTTAATTCACTTAGTTCTCACAAGAGATTTTGATCTAAAATTGATTTGATTAATGCTTTTGATAGCGTAGATAGACAAATCCTTTATTTTAGAATGAAAATTTTGATTTTTCCTCATATATCTATAAATTGGATTAGAAGTTGAGCCGAAGATGTTATCATTCATAGAGAAATTAAAGGTTTCTTCATTTCCACTTCAAATTTAAGGCAGGGGCGCGCTTTACCCCCTTACTTATTTTTTATAATAATGGACGCCTTCTCCTTCCTTCTAAATGCCCAAAACAACAATACTCTTTATAGCAGTCATAACTTATCTCATCTTATTTATGTTAATGATTTGATAGGCTATGAAAAAGCTGATATAAATATTGTTGATTGCCTTAACCCCATTCTTGACATCATTCATAGGGCCACAAATTCACGGGGCACTTAATTTTGTGATCTTGTGTCCTATTTAATTTTTTCCTGCATGTGATAATATTTAAATGCCCATTTTAAAATTTTAGCCTAGATTCATGTGCCCCTCCAAATCAGCCACATGCTTCTCTAAAGCAGTGAATTCTAATATTAAGTGGCAAATATGTGCTGCTAGCGGGTTTCAGCACAAGACATTTCCTTGGGATTACCTTGAAGTGTCTATAAAGGCTAGCCTGTTTAACACTAATGATTACCAAAAGATTATTGATAATTTGCATTTTTATCTCTCATGTTGGAAACAAATCATTCTTTCAACTACTGTAAGATTTCAACTCATTAAAATCTCCTTGGATCTATCTTTTTTAGTGTCTTAGATCTGATAATATATCTAACGGTCCAAGAAAGAAGATATCATCCTTGTTCAATATATTTTTTGCATCATAGCTCTTAAAATAGAAACTTGCATATTATTGCTTGAAGTGACACTACCTTGCCCAAGATTTGTGGTTGTTTTGGTCTTTCCAACCATGATATTATTAACCTGATGTGTAAGGCTAAAATCATTTGATGGCATTGTAGCTCTAACTCTCACTTTTTCAATAGGTGCATTTTCCATTATGTCTCTTCCACATGCTAAAAACTATAAATTTTTTACTTCATGTAAGAAATTGGTAAATATGACTGTAAGAATCAGGAGCTGTTTGACTTTTCAGGTTACTTTTAATAATATTTTATCGTTCTTTTTTTCACATAGTTAGAAGGGCTTCAATATTTGAGAGATTTGCTTAGGCAGCTTTTTTGTGGTTTCAGTACCTTATTCATACTAAGCTTTATGAAGTTATTTCTAATGGAATATGGTCCTTAGCTCTAAATAGCTTTATTTAAAACCATTACGTTCAAATCATTTACAATATTCCGATTATGACGACCAAAAATTCTTTCTTTGGCTTATTTCTCATCACTTTTCACCCAAAACAATTTATCACTTTTCTTTTAATATAATTTCAAGAGTTGAGCGGAGTAGTTACTAATAGTTTAAATGCCACTATCAAATTTGCTTTTGTGTTATGTAAATTTTATACGTTAGACTCAAGAATAGTGATATCCTCGATGTTATAGGCATGCTTGATTTTTAAGATTATGTTTTTCATTTTTATTTCAGATAAACCTACACTCATTTATTTTTAACATCTATTCTCATTAGTTTTATTAAGGATTGCATACCCAATGAGATTTTTTTTTTGCGCCAACATCTTTATTGTTCTTTTTCATGCTGATCCAGTCACTACTAAGATTCTAAAGGGGTTCTATTTTCTTAATGCTCATTCAACTGCTCATCATATTTGAATTGAAAGAAATAATATAATTATTAATAATTCTGCCACTGTATCTGATGCGCTAATATAAAATATCCATTGAAACATTAAGTTAAAGAGTAGAAAATGAAAGTTGAAGCAAAAAAAAATCCTGCTTATATCAAAGTTCTTTACAATTTACTATAATGTTTGCATTCTATGTCTTTTGTCAAGCTACATTCTGCATCTTTTTTATTTTTGGCCCTTATACTTGTTGCTCCACATATTCTAGATCCTTAAAATCTTTTTTGACTTTCCGAATGTTTTGGGGTTGGTGTGTTGTTGACCTTTGGCTGTTGGATTTATATGGTCTTGCTTTTTGGATGTTTTGGGTTGTTGCTAGGTGTCCTTTGGCTTTTGGGTTTATATAAGTTAGTATTTTTAGCTTACAACATATTTGTGGTGGTATTAACCTATTTGCATAGTTTTATTCATTTTCATGTTGTTTATGTACTGCAAGAGATGCCTTAGTAGTGCATAACTCTCTCTATTACTCATTCTTCTTTCTTTATTACTGATAAGTTATAGATAATGCACTTATTTCAACTATTTTCGAAATTGATAAGACACAATTAATTCTTTATTTCTTAATCTTTTTTTTGCTATTTTCAACTAATGAGCTACATATAATGCAAAAGTTTTATTAATTATGATTTAATTTTTGTGGATCTGGGTTGTTGTGATGACACCGCTATGGCCTCTGAGACTTGATCTCTCATATTTGATCGATCTTACTAATAAATATGGCTCATTATTTGTTCAGGGATTTTCTTTGTCCGCAATGGTTCCTGCAAATTACTTATGTTGGTTTTGATCTGGATCTATCTGTGATGATATTAATTGGATCATGGAGAGGTTCCTCAATTTTTTTAATTCCTTGCTAGCTTGGTTTTAACTTCATATTTCTGGCTTATTGGAAGTTTTCATGTATACATTTATCTCTAGCACTCTTCTGGTTGCAATCTGGTGATTAATTCTAGGGGTTCAATGCCAAATCAAAATTCGAGGATAGAGCCTTTTACATGAGTATTTTGTTGGGTTGTGAACAAATTTGATACTTCTTTTAGTCTAATCATTTTTGTGAACCTATTTTTTTATTTTTTTATATTTATAATTAAACATTTTTATTAATAAAATACTTGGATTTGTGCCCTCAAATCCTCCTAAAAGTAAACAAATAAATTAAATTACTATGTAATATTTTTCTTTTTATTTATTATTTCCTCATGGTAATTGATAATCCACACTTTCTAACGTCAGCAAGCGTTAAAATTTTTAAGAGGGCCTGTTTCCGTACTATAATTTAGGCAAGAGCTTCCTTAATGGCTTATTTTATCCTTTATTATTCAGCTCTGGGAGAAGAAGCAGGAGAGATAAAAAGGGGGAAGCGGGAGGACGAAGCAGCCAAGGGTTTCGAGCCCGGGGACATGCTTCCTCAAAGAGGTGTTTTCCCTTTTTCCAGAAACCAATATTTTTTTATTCCATGCATCTGAGATTCTTCACTTTCTCCACTTGAGAGTTCGATTTGCATGGTGTTTTTGAGTGAGGTAGCACATACGCGCGCACATAACCTAACAGTAGTCACCTTCTTCCCCCAGTGGTAGGGCTGGAACCCGGGCCGCCGACCAGGAACCGATGCACCCGGCCCCGGACCGCGTCGCGTTTATGATTTTTCTGTTTGTTTTTGTAGATCGGCAGAGGTTGTGGAATACTGGGTTTTGTTTTTGTGTATTATTTATTACAATTTATTATTTCTTCGTATGCTGTAAACTTGATGGAGTTTGGGGCATCTTGGTGCAGTTTTGGTAAGGTTTTTGAGTTTTCATGTTATTTCTGTGAGTCGGCTTGATTCTGAACTTGCATTCAGGTTGTTTGGGTGCAGAAGTGTAAGTGTTATTCCCGATCGGGATGATTGCGCTTCTTAATCGTTGCGAGATTCTTTCTTTTGCTTATTTTTTGTCACAGGCTCCATTGAATAAAAGTGGATTTTAACTGTAACTATGTCTCGATGTAGTTTTAGAGTTTATGAATTTGAAAGAAAATTTTAGTTCAAGAATTGGAGGTTTTGCCCTATTTATCTTATTATGTCTATATATATGCCAGGTTCGTATATTTGTTATCAATACTGAGCAAAATGTTGATCAAATTTGCAAGAAGCATGGCATCCTTAAAAAAACAAATTCTATGTAGAGATGACTTGGAAATCTGTTATTGATTTAAGCATAGAGAGCCATTGGTCAGTAATGTCATTAAGCTTGGTTGGGCATAGAATTTAAAATTGCATTGAAGCATATTGGATTGTTGTTCAAATCACTAGATTGCTGAAATTTATAATGCTAATCCATGGAAAAAGTTGAAATATTTCTTTTACACAAAACCTAGCTTAGGTCGCCATGATGGCGCTTACGATCGAGAGGAACTGGAAGTTTTTTTTTTCTTAGTTTTCTAGTATTGATAGTTTAGATGGACCTTATCTTCAATTCCTCAATGCCATGGGAAATATAAGTCCATTGCTTGAATATGAAAACTTTTGGAAGGTTATAGTTTAATAAGTTAAAATTTACTCTTTCTGGAAAATGAGAAATCAAATAAGAAAAATACATGAAAATTTATACCTTTAAGAAGGAAAATGTAGCAGACGGTAACTGACACAATGTGTAATAGATATTCTAAATCTTTATGATTTTTGGGCATAACATGCAATCAACGACATGTAAAGCTTCAAACAGTATCCATATCAGTAATATGCAGAAGTAGCATTATTACCACAATTATCTTAGGGGTATTTTGACATATTGTGCATTGCAGTAAATATTGTTGTTTAAGTTCAGCTAACATTGACATAATGTAAGATGTTTCATTTAGACATGTCTTTTGAGAATGCTGAGTATTTTACCCTTTGAATTAGATTTCGACTTTGTTTTGTAATGCTCATCAGTTACCTCATCTATAAAAATATCTGAGATGCCTCAAATGTTGTCCTGTTAATGAAATGATGGCTTCTAAGATTTTTTTTTTGCCCAACGGGCCATTATCATCAAGTTGTAATGGAATAAATTAGTATTTTAAAACTTGATTTTTACTTGATTTAAAAATTCTGGTTTCGGAAGTTTTCATAGTTTACCAGATTTTGGGATTCACTTTTGATTGTGGTTTTAATTACTTTTTTATCGAAAAATATTACTAAAAAATCATTTAAGGCATCAAGCAGAGTACTATCTAAGTGGGATTTGAGTTGCAATAAGCATGAGATTTGAAGAAACTTAATGATTGAATTCTAAAAATTTTGCAATCTATATTTTATTTATTTGGATGTGCCAAATTAATCGTGATCAATCATTATCAAGAATATATCATTTTCCGGCACATTCGATATTCTTAAGAAGATTAACATTGGTTATTTTTTTTGTATGACTGATGGATTTTCTTTTTTTCATGTATGCACTCTTTTTCATTCAAAACTACTTACGCAAATTCAATTATTTTTTTCTACTTCAAGGAATAACTGTGAGGGGTAAGGTGTGTGAGACACTGATAGGGAGTTAGGATAGGGTGCACGCTCGATAGCTATAAGCAGGACTTGCTTGTCGATGTAGGCAAGGAAAAAAGCTGCCAAAAGAGGGTCCTAAGGGCAGGGAGAGAGAGAGGAGTGGCTAGAGAGGGAGAGAGAGAAGAGAAAGTGATGTGGGAGAGTTGAAAGTATGAAAAGAGAGGGGGGTGACTACTCCAATAATGTGAATCAAGCTTAAAATATTAAATCATCATAATCTACTCTTCACCATCACGGTCTTCTACATATAATAAGAACCATTTAAATTTACAAGCAAATGAAACAAAATAAAAATTGAGAAATAATATTCTCTTGAACAATAATTCCTAATACAAATAAAAAAAAAACATATTTCACTAATTACAAATCACTGATAGAATTTGAAATTTAGTGTTCAATCATATTGCTGATGCCTAATGTAGGTCCTAATTGGGTGAATGTCATCAGTCTATTTTTTATAGAATTTATGAAGAAGAGGATGGAAGAGGAAGGAGCCTGGTGAATTTAAGTCGTAATCATCACTAATGTCATCCTTTATTTCAAGCCCAGAACAAAATAAAGCAGCTAATGTCTAAATTGTCCGTGGGGCCTATTACACATTACTGAAAAATAAAATCAAAACTAGAACATCAAATTTCAGCCATCTGATGAAGCGGGCTACCATGCTCCAGGTGTTCATTCTGACTTAAGTGCTATTTTTGAACAAACAAGAAAATACTAAAAATATCTTTTCTTATTTACATATCTTGCTAATTAGAGCATTCTAAAACTTTTATTGGTTGAGGTTGCTTTAGAAAATGCAAGCCTCAAATCTTGGATATGAGTACCTTTTCCAAAATATGTCCTCATTAATATTGCTTGGATTTTAAATTACACTGAGTTCTAAATTCCACATGTTACAGTCTCGGAAATTTATTGTTTGAAGTTGCCACTTATAATGCCAACTAAATAAGGACTTCTGGTATGAGAACATAGATGACAATTATTCGGATAAAATTGTAACTTGTCATTGAAAAAAATGCACATTCTATCTTGGAACATAAAAGTTTTATTATAACTTTTTTAATATGAAAGCAAAGTCGCCTTTATTCATCAGGGCATCTCAAGTTTTCTTAATTTTTTGACAGTTGGCTACAGATAGTAGTTTCTCACATCTATAAAAGACCGAGTAATTTGCACCATAATTTGTGGGAATTTTTGCGGCTCTCAAATACAAAATATGAGCGATAAGGATTTACAACAAGACCTAGTCCAATCTGCATACAGTTATCCAAGTAATAGCATTCCATGGTGGAATTCATGTGGACCACATATTTTGTTGTACCCCACCACCACTAGCTTATTTGCCAACATGAACCCTCTGGCTTCTGATCAGATAAAACAAGCTGGAAATCAGATGGAGCAAGAATCATCATCTACACAGTCCACTGGTTGTTCCTATGGTGAATTATCAAAAGAAAGTGATGATAACCACAATGAATTGGGTCTCTCAGCTCAATCTGGTTCGGTTCAGAATAAGATAAATGACAAAGGTACCTTCCTTTCTCCTCCATTGTAGGCTTTTTTAAAAGATAACTCATTTGTTTATTTTATTTTCTTATTCCTTTTTGTAAGGGCTAAATAAATGTTTTTCCCTTGGGTTTGTCAGATGATTTTCCTGAATGAATTATTTTTTCCTTTTTTCTCATGTTTTAATCTATTTATTACAACAAATTGCTAATGGTTCCTTGTTTTTCAGGATAAAAGATGTTATTAATTTAATTCTTTATGATTGCATCACTTTAATGTTAGGGAGCATCATGCAAATTACTTTGTTTTTTTGGGTTGATTACACTTTTATATAATTCCAAGCATTTGCAAGATTTAATGCATGCCCGTACTCCTAGATTCATTATCACGTTTCTTTTTGGAGTCATGTGCCGAAATTGACTTATTGGGCTTACATTACACGCATTTATTTATAATTGGACAAATTTTCCTTCCACACTCTCCTTTGCAGCCATCATGCTGCTCAAGTATTGTTTAAGGAGCTTGAAATTGCATTGTTATGCGATTTGATATAACTTAATTAGCCTAGTAGATAATTGAAATCTCATGGTGAACATGTGCAGGATACACTAATATATTACTAATTAAATTTTTTTTGATGCAGTTACCGCTTACCACCGAGCGTGGCATGCTTAGTTTGTGCGGTTATGTTGGATTATTTGCAATTTGGCAGTTGTATTATCACAAAAATTTTCATAGGCTCCTTTAGACTGAATGCAAGTTTATTCAAGAGAATTGTAGCCCTTGTAGTTGCATTATGAAGAGTATGGTTTTCAACTTGTTTACAAGTTGATGCTACCGCTATTTTCTTCGTATTACTCTAAATTACCAAATTACCTTCAACAATTTATGCATATCCTGATATTGACTTCCTATCTAGTCTAGATCTAACGAAGCTAGAGCTATGTCTAAAGAACACTTTATCTTTACATGGAGATTACTCTTAAGGAGTGAAGATACTATTCACAAGTCTTATCTAACAATACTTGCTTAGAACCATATTCTTTCAATGAGTAGCTTAACCTACTAAAATCATGCCATTGGATTATTTTCTCCTATGGAAGTGTTACGCCATGGGAGGGACCGGTCTAGCAGGGACCTGTTGAATGCCTTCCAACTGGCCCGTCCCCTCTACAGACGGGTTGATCCTTTTCGCAGGAAGCAGTCGAGCAATCCCAGGCGGTGGCAGAGGAAGGAAAGTAGCGGGTGGGGCCCGTTAGGGCTATAATCTTGAGGGGAGTTGGAGGGAAAGTTTAGAAGGAAAATTTTCAAATGCTGTATGAGGATTCTATTAGGGTGGAACTTGGGGGTTTTTTTCTTTCATGCATTATTTTGGTGGATGCTGTGTTTTTTTTTCTTTGGTCTTGTTTCTAGCGACATCTAGGGTGCGGGAGATCGATCTACCCTCGAAAATAGATCATCCTTTTTATCCTGCTTGTGTTTTCCTTTGATTGTGGTAAGAGCAGTCTTTATTTGTGTTTTTCCCCTTATTTATTGCGTTTTTGCCGTGGTTTATTTGCTGATTTTGGTGCCAAGATGTAACAAATTGGTATCATAACATAGATCTTGGTGGGGTGAAAACAAAGAAAGTTGATGTACTAGAACGAGAGGTGGAGCAAATTCGATCCGGAATGGAGGAAATGTTTGCTATCATGGAGGACAGATTCTCGTTTATTGAAAGTCGAATGAATGATGCAGTTGAAGCATAGGGGAAATGCAGAAGATGATGAAAAAGCATCATAGAGATGCAATCCAAGGCCATACAGACTGCTCTAGCTGCGAATCATAACCAGGGGTTGATCAGGGAATCCTTGGCTAGGTCAAAGGGGAAGGAGATCAAGCGAGAAGACAACGAAGAAGACATCATCTACCGACAATATAGGGTCAAAATCATACTTGTGTTCTATATTTTCAATTATAGCAGTCCTACATTGTTTTCTTATACTTTTGTCCGTGCTTAAGCATTGTAGCACTTAAACATTAAATATAGTATCGACATTATATATATATATATATAAGCAATGTCGTCATCGCCCTCGCCACCTAGACCCTAGACCCATATTAGTCCGATGATTCATATGTGGCGTTAACAAATTTCCCCAATTGCCAGGAGGATTTGAGTGTAATATTCAAGCTCAAATCCCGATGCACTGGGTTTCATTGTAGGTTAAGTCATTGAGGGAATTTCATTGTTGATTTAATTAAGGAAGCATTGACTACGTCTCGGTGCATCCTGGTGTCTAGTGTCTTGATCAGTTTATGAATCTGGGTCAAGTGTCAAGTTTCATTATTTATTTGAAAATTAGGTGGATGAACGCCACCTAGGGTGTGCTCCTAAAATATAGGAAGACTATGCTGAGAATTAGGTGGATGGACTCTCACCTAGAGTGTGCTCCTAAAATCTAGGAAGCATATGCTGGGAATTAGGTGGATGGACTCTCACCTAGGGTGTGCTCCTAAAATTTAGGAAGCCTGTGCTGAGGATTAGGTGGATGGACTCTCACCTAGGGTGTATTCCTAAAATCTAAAAACCTATGCTGAGAATTAGGTGGGTGGACTCCCACCTAGGGTGTGCTCCTCAAATCTAGAACCTATGCTGAGAATTAAGTGGATAGACTCTCACCTACGGTATGCTCCTAAAATCTAGGAAGCCTATACTTTAACTTGTGCTTAAAGTGATTTAGGCATTATACCCTCAATTAAGTATTTTCTAACTAATTTTCAATTATTTCTAAGTGTTTTCCAAATAATTAAATCAGAAATTCTCATTTTTTTTTGACTTGACAATTTAACAAAAATAACAAAACAAACGAAAAGGGAAGGTTGACCCACTTCCAAAACTAACAAATCCAATGAGGAAATAGTAAGTGAATCAACCTAAAAGCGTTTAAAATCTTTTAACAAGTGTAATTAATTAGACTCCCGAGAAGAGTGCTTAAGTTCGTCCCAAGACAATGCTTTGATCGGCCCAAAAGTTTTCCAATTCAGCATAAAAAGAAATGAGATCCAAAAGCCACAAGAGACTTAGAAAAGTGCAGTTCAAAAGCCACAAAATTGAACAAAAAAGTGCAACCCATAAGCCACCAAGCGGACCAAAGAAAGTGCAGCAAAACAAGCCCCTTAACGGTCCCAAAAACCATGCATTTAACTACCCTCAAAATAACATTAAAACAACAAGAAAAGTCCCTCAAAATCAGCATTAAAATGGGGCACAAATACCCCCAAAACAGTAGATAAATCAACACCCGGGTGGCATATAAAGCCTCCGAAACCAGCAATATATAATTTCCAAACAGTGAAAGAGTCGAGGCAAAACAATAAGAATGACAAGCTAGAACGACATCCTAATCCTTCATCAAAACAACGATAATACCGAGCAACCGGCCAAGAAGAATCGAATAAAAAATTGCACGTATACCCCACAATTCCTTTGTGTTAACATATCTCCAAACTAGACTTCAATTCTTACATTTATACCACCCAAATCTTTTGTGTCATGTCAAAACAACATCAATACGGCTTCTAGCGCGTGTGCGCAAAGATGCGTATGCAGAGGGATTAAAACTTAAGGTGCCATAAATGTAAATCCATGAGAATTATGTGATACGTATGTGAATCCTTCTAAAAAAATCAGTAGATTCCAGTAAAGAATATTGGAATAATAGTAGAAGAAAGACTCATTTAGGAAAAAGTTCACATTCAATAATTCATGGTTGACGTAAGCAAGCCCACGATTTTAACAACTATTAAACATTAGTTTGAATTTAATGAAGAATGATTCCATTTCCCCATGCCTACACAAGATCATTGTAACACTAGCATATCAGATGATTCCTAGATAAAAACAAGTAAACATGGCTAGTACATTTAAAAGAACAGTGGATAATCAAAACACACAAGATAAAGTGCCACGGATAATAAGCTTACTGAAACAACCAATCATAAAGCACTCCAAATTGACATAACTTACTCTTTAAAAACCTAGGCAAAGCATGTTTAACAAAATTCTAAGCACATTTCAGGGATATAAAACTTTATGGCTCCAAACAGTAACTCTAAAGAAGAGCTAAGATCCTTCATAAATCCATAAATAAATCAAGTAGGCATTCAATCTTAAATCACATAATCCACAAATCAGAGACAAACAAAAGGGGCCATTATTTGCAATTCGATAAAAAAAATGGTTTAGAATTCACCTTCCTAAAATCTCTTCGGTGGAGGCCTTGAGATAATCGAGTAGGAGGTTTGCCGTAGGTGAAGGAAATTCGGTTAGGGCTGCTGGACGAAAAATTCTCGTCGCGCGAGAGAAGGCACAGCAGGAGCGAGCTTCGGGGAGCTTCGGCTAGAGCTGCGATCGAGAGAGAAAGGAGCTGAGTTTCTTCGGTGCCGATCAAAGGAGCAAAGGCGAGCGGGAGATGGGAGCTCGGTTCGCAGTGTTGAGTCGCAGAGGAGAGCAAGCAAGCGGAGGAGTGGGATCGAGGGAGCGCGACCTTTGGTTCAAGGAGAGCAGCGTCGAGCTGCTGTTCGGCGTGAGAAGGAAGAGCGAAGCGAAGGTTTTCGGCATAGCAAAGGGTCGAGCGCCTCGTCCCTTCTAGTTGGGCGGGATCAAGCAGAGAAAGCTCGGGAGAGGGAAAAGGCGAGCGGGGGAGGCGAGTCGGGCGGGGGACTCTAGTGCCGAAGGAAGGAATCAGGCAAGAGGAGGAAGAGGCGCAGTGCGGAGAGGGGGAGAAGGCGAGCGGGAGTCGAGCAGTCGAGACTCGGTGCTGAGGGGGGAGCCGAGTCTCGTCGTGAGAGGAAGATGGAGTGCTTCAATACTGAGGGAGGAGAGCCGTAAAGGTATATACGCGAGTATCGGTTAAGCGCCAAATTAAATACCTTCCATGCGGGGGAAAGCTTGTTAGACAAATATTAAATTTCAATTTGACCCAATTAATGTGAGATTAAATGGTCAATTTGAAATTTAAAATTTGAATTTTGAAAATATTTGAGCTGGGGTGATTAGCCCGTGTTCAACGCGCATCCAACCCAAGTCGAACCCGAGTTGAGCCCGGGCCCGCGTCCCGCTAATAAAAAAGTAGTGCATCGATTTTCGTGCTACTTACTCGCACGCGAAACCATAACGATATGGGTGTCCTTCTTGGCTAAAGTTGACGTTCCGGACGCGTCGGTGCGGTTCGTTTCGTCATCCGAGATCGTCCGGACAAACTCACTGGTGGGCAAGTCAAACCAAGTCAAAGTCATGTGTGGTGCAGTGAATGCGTGAATTGCGGCGTTCGCGAGTAATCGGGTCACAAAGGGTTCACCTAAGGCTGTTTGATCCTATAAGAACTCATTTTCGGGCCCTTTACATGTTGGTCTTTAGCTCTTACAACTAGAAGTTGAGTGCTTGGAACCACTCATGCCAGTTCTTCACAAAAATGAGTCAAGAAGTGGTTTGAAGTTTTACAAGAGGTGGACTCCATTACTAGTCTGCTAGGATGGTTAACAAGGAACTTCTAAGGCTATATTTTGGGTTCTGGGAGTAGGAGACTAAAACTCACTAAAAATGAGGTCAACAATGTAATTTTTATAGATATATTTAAATTCACAGTTTTAATAGATATAGCAGCTGTTACACACACACCCCCAAATATTTATATTTAAGTTAGAGAGCACGTTTATTTATATTTGGAATCCATGCAATTTTTCATATTTTAATATAGTTTATTATAAATAAATTAAACAACAAATACTGTCCATATATCTCTTTGCATATTTTTTACCCATTGTTAACTGGTACGACGAGACGCAGAAGGGCTAAACCACAGGAATAAAAAATTGGAATGACAGGAAATACTCCAAGAGCCGCGTCCGTGTTTTTATTAATAGAACGGTGTTTAAAACGGGAGTTGCGAAACGCTCGATCCAAACACTCCAAAACCTGATTTTGAACTGATCGTGAACCGAAAAGCTGAAACAAATGCATCCTGAGTGGCTTAAGTTGTTGGTGGAAAATATAAATACTGTTACTAGCCATTTAGGCACACATATCTCCGCATGCATGTATTAGCGAGCTCACATTAAATCTTTTGGGGCATGAAGGTGCCTTAAAATATTTTTAGTGGTGCTATTTATGATTGCAAAGTTGAGATAGATTCATCTCATTGAAACAAAATTGAATTACTAAATGTACTATAAAGCATCAGATATTTAAATGGATAATAATAAATGCTTCTTTGTTTCTTTCATGTACATTGTGGTCCTCTAGTTACCCATAAAGTAATTGTTAAGTGGATTGATTTGTCATCTATGGTATTCATTAAATAAATTATAACCTTTCTTCAATAAAGTTGGATTCAATTGAGTTTGATTAGTTGGGTAAGGATCAATCACCATGGCAAGTGTCTAGTCAAACTGATTATAGCTGTCTATAAAATTCATTGTAAAATTATTATGGTTAAATACATTTTTTGGAAGTTGCATTGTGTATTATAGGGTTTTTCTTTTTAAAAGTCAGGTAATAGGTTTTTTTTTTTTAAATAATGATGAAGGGTGTAGTTTATTCTCTATCTTACAACTTCCAATCTTAATATGCAGAACTAATAATCGATGTTCAATACTTAAATTTACTTAAATTTTCAATTGGAATGGCCTTGCAATCTTGACATTCTCTACAATACCTTTTTCTCATAAATAAATAATAAATTGGTGTTTATTATATTCATTCTTATAAGTAATAATATGTTTATCTCTTTTTTAAAATAAGGTATTGACAATAACTAAATCATATATTAAATTAAAATCTAATATGGTTATACCTTCTTCATTAATCACTCAAAAATTATAACCGCCATGAATATTTCTAAAATCTTTTACTACTTATGTTTTTTTAAATCTCCTCCGATAAAAATTCTCTCTTCAATATATATTATTTATATTAATTTTTCTAGGTTATTCCAAAATTTTTATTTTGAACCTTTGTCTAAACCTACTTCAGGAACACATGCACTTATAACCTTAAAAATCTTAATATCAACAATTTTTAGGTTATGATTATCTCCAATTTTATTAATTTTTTACAATATTATCTTTCAAACTCTTATATATAATTACACATATCCCGTTTCTAGTGTGACTCTTACCTGAATATCAAAATTTAAAATGTAAGCTATTAATCTCGCTAGCCTCTTCTTCGACCCATGTATTTTCTTGAATGCTTGAGATATTTATCTTCATATGAACCATAATATTTGCTAATTTTATTAATTTATCTGTGAGAGTATATATACTCCAAGTTCTTATCATAATATTTGTTTCATGGACTAACTTATTTGCCCGCATCTGTCCGTAATGGGATGGGCGATACGTGGAGACAAAATGTGAAATGAATATATCCGTGATAGGGTTGGTTTAACTCCAGTGGTAGGTAAAATTAGAGAGAGTCGTCTTGGATGGTTTGGTCACATTAAGCATCGACCCTGTGATGATCCAATTAGGAGAGTAGATGTTTTAGATTCGACTTATGTTAAGAAAGTCAGATGTAGACCTAAAAAGACTTGGGCATATTGTATAAAAAAATGATCTTAATCTATTAGAATTAAACAAAAATATGACACTCGATATGATGTAATGGAGAGAAGGGATTCATGTAGCCGACCCTACTTAATGGGATAAAGGCTTGTTGTTGCTCTTGAACAAAATCTAGTTGATTTGATTATAGAAAGTTACTTCTTACTTTCTTTTTTCTTTTTCTTTTTTGGTGTGAAAAAAACGAAGTTGTGAAAAGAAGCCCCATATGGACCTTTTGCCTCATAGTTATGAAATTGGGGATTTATATGGCTTTGCTAAAATTCAATTGATCTCCATTAAGATTTGATCGTCCTAATTATATTAGGATTGAAACTAGGGGCCAATTGATTAATCATTCATTAGGTAATGTTTAGGATATTTTAAATAAAAAAAAGGAGTGTCAAATTTACTTAAATCCACTTAGATATGTTGCTATTTACATTCACATTGAACTGAGTTGTACGCAACTCCTATGAATTGCACCTGGCACTCACCTTGTAGCTCTATGAATTATAGTCACAAAATCTTTACTTCCTAGTCATGCCATTCCTAAGAATGGTAACTATGGTTAATCAAACTTCTTAGTTGCACAACTTGAAGACCTCCGATACTGGTTGTTGGGTCCGTTGCTATAACTGTTATGTTATAATCCTGGGATTTTGTTTGCATCTACTTCCAAGCCAACATTCATGAATTAAATTTAATCTTAGACATTGACTCCAAGCCTAAACTTTGTGCACAAGTAACATTTTTAATTGAGAGATTTCTCCCACAAGTGGGATTGAAAATTAACTAGAGTCTTGTGCCATAGGAAATTTTGATCCTATATCTAAATAAATATTAACTCAACATTAAGAGAGGTTTGGTTAATTTAAACCTTATCTATCTTAAAAAAATTACTCTCATGTGCTTTTTTGGATGTTTGGGAGGCTCGCATGAAGGGTGTTTGCTTTTCCTGAGTGATGACCTCTATCGTCCTTCCAAATTTATTTACTTTTCTTACTCCATCCTTGCTAGAGAGCCGACCGCTCTCTCCTACCGTGCGACGTGCGCTCCACCCTCATTCAGACTAGTTTGCGCCGGGGCATCCACATCACCAGTGATATTTCAAGCCAAAATCTAAAGGATGGACTCCACAAATACAAGACAAAATTTGTTGTACCCAAGAACCAAATCAAGTAAGACGCTGTAAGCTCACTAGGGAGCACCAGCAGAAGCGCGGGGAATGCACACCAGGACGTTTGAGTAGCTTGACTGGTAGGCGGTCCTGTGTCACAGCATGTGGTTGAGTGGTCGGATTAGGAACCGAGAGCTCTTTCTTTTCACTATGACCTTCTCAAACATTTAATTCAATTGCTCGATTCCACGTGGCTAGTACTGAAAAATTAGCATGAATCAACTCTTAGTGGTGCTATAAATCCTCCTTTTTTAATTATGTATTACATTATCGATAAGTAGTACAAGTCCTGTTAAGCTTCATTCTTTCTTTTTGATGATGACATTTGCTTTGACTATTTAATTTTTATTTCACTTTAGGTAATGAACATGCAAATGAGAAACTCAAAGAGGGTCAGACAAAACTGGTTTTACCAGAGGAGAAATCGCAAGTTTTGACCGGAACTACAAAATTTGATTATAGCCAGTCTCTTGTAAGTTTTTAATTTATTGCTGGCTTTGAGTGAGATAATCTCTTTTCATCAATAAAAAAACTTTTCTTTCATCTTCTAAATATCCTGCATACTTCCATTTACATATATGGATTCAGTGCCTTGATATTCATGTTTTTATGATTTTTCCTGTTTTCCCATGCAGTCTTTTATTCCATATGCTTATGCTGATGCACAATACACGGGAGGCTTAGCTGCTTATGGTTCTCATGCTGTTGTGAGTTCTGCTTTCAATTTTCTTCTGAAAGGCAGAAGTTTAGGATTTTGGTTTTAAATATTTTTTATGCTCATTTCTTGGCAGTTTTTTTTTTTCTTTTTGTGATTGGATAGCTCTTCGGATTCATTGCTTAGCTTACAAACTATGCCTAAGGGTATTTATAGTCTAGTCTCTAGTCTCTACACGCTTGTAATTATTGTATTTGAAAATTTATAATTCGAATACAACCAATTTTAAAAGTCAATCTTTTCATATAGTTTTATTTTAAATAATTATGTAGTCTTCTTGTTCCATTCATACTATTAACATTTTCCGATTTCTTGATGACTATACCCTCAGTTTTGTGCTCTCTGACCCACCGACAAGCTTCTACCTTCCACGAATCAGTGGCTAGCTAGTCATCTTGAGATAGTTAACTAACGAGAATTGAAGAAAATTGGTTGAGTATTTTTTTCAAAATTTATGTAGTATTTATAAAATTTTAGGATAGCTTTTAATAGGAAACTTACAAACTCTAATAATAGTGTTATTTTTGTCTATACATAGATCGCATCGCTTAATTCCAAGAGAACCTGAGACCAATGGTGCCTAATATTGTTATTTTTGTCTATAAATATCACGGTCGTGATTCTTTTCACAAAAAAAAAAAAAGAAAAGAAATTCAACAATGCAACAATAAGGCGGAAACAATTGGACTCGTTTGCATCAATGCGATGATGAAAGCTATCACAATGAGAAATATTTGATGCATCTCGGCATTAATGACTTCAGTTATAGAAATATAGTAGAAAATTAAGTAAGAGCAACAATGAAGGCTGCAAGATTATACAAATGTATGGGAATTCAGAGAAATAACTTTGTATTTCACTTACTTCTTTGAATTGATAATACAAGGTATTATATAGGAGATTACAAGTAGAAAAAATTAGGAAACTATTTCACTAATTTCCTTAATTTAAGGGATTACAAATTAATTCTAAGTCCCTCAATTTAAGGGATTACCAATTAATTTTAATTCCCTTAATTAAGGGAATTAGAATTAATTCTCCAAACCTTATTTCCATCTCAGACACATCTCGACACTCCCCCTCAAGCTGAGGAATAGATGTCTTCCATTCCCAGCTTGGATACAAGATCATGGAAACTTGAACTGTTCAACCCCTTTGTTAGAACATCGACTAATTGTCTTTCTGATGGAACATATGACATACACACTAACTCTTCCTCCAGTTTTTCTTTGATGAAATGTCTATTAATTTCAATATGTTTTGTCATATCATGTTGTATAGGATTATGAGCTATATTAATAGCTGACTTGCTGTCACAGTAGAGCTTCATAGGGCCCTCTCATTGGATTCTCAAATCATCCAAAATGATTCTCAACCACAGTAATTCACATAATCCTTGAGCAATAGCCCTGAACTCTGATTATGCAGATGACCTTGCCACTAAATTCTGCTTCTTGCTCCTCCATGTCACTAGGCTACCACCAAGAAAAGTACAATATCATGTAGTTAATATTCTATCCACTAAGGGAGCCAACATAGTCAGCGTCAGTGTAGGCTTCCAGAGTAAGATCGTCATTCCTTTTGAACAAGATTCATTTTCTCGGATTGCCTTTCAAGTAATGCAGTACCCTGTAGGCAACCTGAAGATGAGGTTTTTTTGGATCATGCATGAATTGACTGATCATACTTACAAAATATGCTATGTCTGGTCCAGTGTGAGTAAGGTATATGAGTCTGCCAACCAATCTCTGCTACATTCTTTTATCCAGAGCTGGTTCTTCTTTAGCTTCTCCCAGCTTATAGTTTGGATCTATTGGAGTAGAGATTAGCTTACACCCAGTCTTCCCTGTTTCTGCCAATAAATCAATCACGTACTTCTGCTGAGATATGAAGATCCCCTGTGTGGAATATGCCACCTCAAGACCGAGGAAGTACTTCAATTTCCCCAGTTCCTTTGTTTCAAATTCTTTTACTAGTCCCATCTTCAATTCATGCTTTTCTTTCTCATCATTTTGAGTCACTATGATGTCGTCCACATAGACTAAAAGAGCAGTCACTCCCCCTACAACTGAATGTTTAATGAAAAGAGTGTGGTCACCTTGGCTTTGTTTGTACCCAGATTCCTTTATGACTCTTGCAAATCTGCCAAACCATGCTATAGGAGATTGTTTTAACCTATAAATGGCCTTTTTCAGCTTGCACCTTGTTACCTGTGTCCCCTTCAAATCCCGGAGGGATGTTCATGTAGATTTCCTCATTTAGGTCACCATGAAGGAATGCATTCTTAACATCATACTGTAGCAGTTGCCAATTGAAGTGAGCAGCCAATGATAACAGAATTCTCACTGTGTTCATTTTTGCAACTGGAGCAAATGTTTCCTGATAATCCACCTCGTAAGTCAGAGTGTACCCTTTAGCTACTAACCTTGCTTTATATCTTTCAAGGGATCTATCAGCCTTGTACTTCAATGTAAAAATCCACTTGCAATCAACAATGTTTTTTTTCCTTCGGTTTGTCAACGATCTCCCATGTTTTATTCTTTTCTAATGCACTCATTTCCTCTTTCATAGCGTCCCTCCATTCCCCTTTTGACAATGCCTCAGACATTGTTAGGAATGACAATGGTGTTCAAATTCACAATGAATCTTTTGTGGGCTGGTGATAGACGCTTGAGAGATACATAGTGAGATAGTGGATAAAGTGGATTGGATTCTTGGACTTGTGTCAGTTCAGGAACGACCTTTCTCCTTGAATACACTTGAGGAAATCTTGGGAAATCGTGAGTGACACTGGTTGGAGTAGGAGATGATAAGGGTTCAGGATCAGGTGACTCAGATGTGATTGGTTCAGAGGACTCGGGTTCAGCTGGAACAGGAGGAGAGTTTGATTTAGGTTTAACAACACGGGCTGACACATGTGGAAGGTCAAGGGTTTTAAGTGGTTCAAAGGGCTCACAAGTACTATATTCCATCATGGAAATCTCCCCCTGAAGAGATGACATGGAAAAAGAGTTTATTTTCTGTGAAAGTGACATCTGCAGAGATGTAAAATTTTCTGGTAGAGCGGTTGTAACATTTATATCTCTTTTGAGTGGAGTAACCCAGGAAAACACATTTGATGGCTTTAGGATCTAGCTTCCCTCTATGTTGTTTGTGGACATGAACAAAGGCAGTACACCCAAATACCCTGGGAGTGAGGCTATTTGAGGTTCTGAGGTGAGGGTAGAATCTATTTAGGACCTCTATGGGGTTTTTGTTTTCTAACACACGGGAGATAAGTCTATTGATCATATATATGACAGTAAGAACGACTTCTCCCCAATAGGACTTAGGAACATTCTTTTGAAATAGTAAGGCTCGGGTGGTGTTGAGTAAATGCCCATTCTTTCTTTCAGCTACCCCATTTTGTTGGGGTGTGTCCACACATGATGAGTCATGGATAATCCCCTGTGATAGAAAATAAGGTGATAGAATTTGATTGAAGTAGTCTCTAGCATTGTCTGTCCTAGAGCCTTTTATTTTGACCCCAAATTGATTTTGAACCATTAAATGGAAATTAGGTATAACAGTGCTAACATCAGATTTTTTTTTTTTTAAGAAGGAAGAGCCATGTAACCCGGGTGCAATAATCAATTAAGGATACAAACAAACGAGCCCCAGAAACATTAGGTATAGTGAAAGGACCCCATATGTCACTATGAATCAGATGAAAAAGATAAGAACTTTTATTGCTAATAGGAAAAGATTCACGGGTATGTTTTGCCAATTCACAAATGTCACAATGAAACTCAGAAATTTCTAATCCTTGGAATAAATGTGTAAACAATATATTTAGAACCTCAAAAGAGGGATGACCAAGACGTAAGTGATACAGTCAAATGACATCTTTGTTCGAGGAACTAAGGAAAGATGAAGTCACATTGCTCCTAATTGTCTGGGATGGTTCAAGGTGGTAAATACCGCTCCTTTCCTTAGCAAGTCCAATCCTCCTCCCCGAGTCCTATTCCTGAAAAACACAATAAGAAGGGAAAAAAACAGCATAACATTTGAGATCATGAGTCAATTTTTTGATGGACACAAAACTTGTTGACAATTTGGGTACATGAAGAACGTTTTTAAGGATAAGGCTAGGTATGATATGTATATCACCAATCCCTACAACGGGAGCTAAAGAATCATTGTTCATGATAATTTTTCTATTACCTGGACATTGGGTATAGGCGTGGAAGAGTTGAGATGTGGGGGTCATATGGTTAGTAGCACCGGAGTCTATGATCCAAGAGTTGGTATAGAATTTGTCTAAGACATTCATGCAAACAGTTTTAGCTGAAAGAGCTATCGAACATGCTCCAGAAGGCTTCTCAAGAGATCCCAACAAGCTTCTCAATTTCTCAATCTCTTCACTGATGAACTCCCCTATTGCTGAATTTTTCTCAATATTGGGTTGCTCTGCCATATGCGCTTGAGGCCTTTGTTGCCCCCCACGGTTGCCCCATTCTCGGCTTGGAGGTTTACCATTCAGCTTCCAACACTTTTCCCTTGTATGCCTTGGTTTCTTGCAATAAGTACACCACAGATTGTCTTTGTTCTCCTTCCCTTGGTTATCTCTACCCGAGTGTTTAAGCAGATCATTCTTCAACTTCTCCTGATTTATTTTTGCTGCTAAGACTGACCCATCCATAGTATGTGGTTCAAGCATGACACTCCTCCGACTTTCTTCTGCTCGAATTAATGAGATTGTCTCTTCTAGAGACGGTGTATCCTCCTTGCCGAGGATTTGGATCCTAACATGATCAAATTCAGAATTCAATCCTGCCAAAAAATCATATATCCGATTCTTCTCAATGAACTTCTTCAAAGTGGCAACATCATCAGGGCATTTCATCTCAATTACTCGGTAGTGATCCAGTTCCTGCCAAAGATTTTGCAACAGAGTTGTATACTCTGTGACAGATTTGTCTCCTTGTTTGGTGGCTCCGATTTTTGCCTTGATTTCATACACAAGGGCATCATCACGGGTCTTCGAGTATGTGCGGTTGATAGTCTCAGATTTCCTTTGCGGTATTCATGAACATGCAAGTGTCACTGATTGTTGCCATAGAATCCCATAGCCAGGACATAATCATGGAATCCTCCTCTTCCCATGCTATAGATGCTGGATCCCTTTTTCATTGTCCGGTTCCAAGTAGGTGATTAAGCCTCCCTTTGCCCTTTAGGTATGTGCGGACAATTTGGGACCATTTGAGATAGTTCTTCCCATTGAACCTGTTGGATGCCCGAATATTCTGCAACTCTCCAATTTTTTGAACAACATTGGATTCTTCAGAAGGGTTGGAATTGCTGGAGATAGTGGTTTCGGACATTGACATGATGGAGAAGAGGAAGTCGCAGCAATTAAGGCTGGAATCAACGACTGTAGCGGTAAAAGAATCGCAGCAATTAAGGCAGCGAATAAAAGAATCAGCGGCTCAGGAGCGGCAAAAAAGCGGCTCAGCAACAAAGGAATCAGCGGCTCGGCGGCACAAAATTCAGTGGCAAAAGAATCCTCAGAGCGATCGCAAGATCTGCTTCTTTACGCGCTTCTTGACGATCTTCCTCGTGAGCAGCAAGCAACCCTAGATGAGAATAGCGGAGGAGAGCCGAATGACCCTAAGCGGAAAGGATCGAATGGCTGCAGCAGACGGCGGTGTCCTCTAGGGTTTGAGCCCGGTCTCTGATACCATGTGGGAAATCAGAGAAATAATTTTGTATTTCAATTACTTCTTTGAATTGATAATACAAGGTATTATATAGGAGATTACAAGTAGAAAAACTAGGAAACTATTTCACTAATTCCTTTAATTCAAGGGATTACAAATTAATTCTAATTCCCTCAATTTAAGGGATTACCAATTAATTCTAATTCCCTTAATTAAGGAAATTAGAATTAATTCTCCTAACCTTATTTTCATCTCATACACATCTCGACAAAATGCAATAATAAAAGTTGTAAAATTGTGATAATGTAGTGATGAAGTCTGTATTAATGAAAATACAAAGAGAAGAAAACCTGAAGCTATGATATCATGACAAAAAATGGAGAGACTTGGTGCTGCTTATTTTATTTCTGCATTTGTATAGTATTATATTAATCCTTGAGAGCTTCTAATAGAAAACATATAGCATCAGGGAATAATAATAACTGAATATTTCTAACAGTTTATGAATTGATGAGTAGGTAGTTGGGACACCATGAATCAATAAGGTGGTGCCAGAAGAGGATGGAAAGATGGCTGCAGTCTTAATTAAATTTAGTCCCACTTGATGAAATTCATGGTGGTGTTTTATGTTGACTATCAAATGCTGAATTAATTGCCAAGTTTTTTTTAATAGACATGAAATCCATTTCTGAAATTTTTGTAGGGAACATAATGATTTCAGTAGGAATAGTTCTGTTTGGTCTCATTGATGTAAAATAGATTCTCGCAATTAATGTCATGTCGACATCTATTAGATAGTTATGTAGGTTGCATTATAACCATTACCAAGCATTGTGAACCTGTTCTTGCTAATTCGTTCTATTCATTTCTAGTAATTCAATATGCTCAAAACCTCAGACTTCTCCAGGCTTAACTTGATCTATTTTCATAGTCTGCTATTCTTCTTGGAGCTGGGTTCTCCTGTTTCAAAAAGAGTTCTACTCCATATTAATATTTATGACTATACTGTCACCTATCTGCATCTTCAGGTTCATCCTCAAATGATGGGCATGCCACCTTCCTCTCGTTTTGCATTGTCGGTTCAGCCTTCAGGAGAAGAACCCATATATGTTAATGCTAAACAATATCATGCCATCCTCAGAAGGAGAGAGCATCGTGCAAAGTTAGAATCTCAAAGCAAAACTATTAAAATTCGCAAGGTCCGAGTCTTCTTATAACCATCTCTAATCAGCACACATATATACTGTTATAAAACGAGCAAAATTTCAAAATAATCTCTTGACTATTTACAAGAGGTCATTTTAGTATCAGAATTTATAAAATTGTTGAAGTCCCTAGACTTTTCTAATGTGGGCTAAAATAGACTTCATTGGAGATTTTTCAACCCATATTAAAGGACTCTGGGGACTAAAATCGCACTTATGACCCTTTGCGAAGAATTTAGGGGATCATTTTGACATTTTTCTCTATAAGATCTTAAAACGGTGTTTCCATACATGTCACCAAATTCTTATGTATTTACGTACCTAACACATAAACTTTACTTTTTACATTTATACCACCGAAATCTTTCATACAATTTTACCTTTTAAAATGTGGAATGCACTTTTTAAAGCACAGGGAAGGAGGTGTATATGTAAAAATTAAAGTTTAAGCGTTGGATATGTAAGAACATAGAAAGTAAGTGGCATGTATGCAAATCTTCCAATCTTAAATTTGCAACTTGAACATTTGTTTCCCTTTCAGCCATATCTCCACGAGTCTCGGCACCAGCATGCAATGAAGAGGGCGAGAGGTACCGGCGGAAGGTTCCTAAACACCAAGAAGCTTCCGGAGCTGAAGTCTCAGCATTCTTCAAGTACCGCAGGAGCAGCCCATTTGTCCGGCTCTGATATCCAGCAGAATCTTGGCTTCTGCTCCTCTGATCAGCAATCGCAGTATGAGAGGATCATTCATGGAGATTGTGATGGCTTCTTCAACAATGCCCCCAAGCTTCGGGTGCCTGTTAACAGGTAGAAATGGAGGTTCTGTTGTGGCAATTCATCCTTGGCTTTGGTGTTGTGTTTTCATGAAAGGTTTTAATGGCAGCTGAGTCTGAGAGAACGTGTATTTGGACTCTAGGAGTCGAAGCGTTAGGAAGAGGATTGTTATGTTAAATCTAGTTTAATATAATTAGGTGACGACTGGACGAAATGGAGTAATGTTTAAACTTTTGTTTATTTGTCGTTTCATAACAATTTGTAATTGTAAGAAAGAGAAGTGGTAATGAGCTGTTTGCAAATTTATAAGTTATCACATTTATATTATTCGAACTTCCCAATATATTAGTTAAATTTGCTAAATTTGATTTTATATGATAATTATGTTAATTGTAATATTAATTGCTCAATCAATGAAAGTGGACATCATGGTAATTTGATTAAATTTTCTTAATTATGTCTTATCTATGTTCTAGCATATATTTAGCCCCAAAGGTTTTATATATTTCATTAAAATTGCTTATTCTTCTTATTTATGTTTATCATGTTGTAATTACTGTTAATCAGATAATTATACCATAAATTAATGAATTTGAGTTTAATTAATCTTTCATTGAATTCATTGAGTTATTTAGATGCTTATATATAATATGATATATTTAATTACAATTTCATTAAAATAAATTACAAATATAGAAATTTCTTTAATTTTATTACTGTAGAACTTTAACATTCCTTTGCTCAAAATATTTTAAGGATTTTATTGAGAAAGTTAAAGTGTTAATCAATATAAAAACTCCTTCATTCCTCAATATGGTGATCACTCTTTTAATTTCTCTAGGAAAGTAGCAATTTTACTTCATACTATGCATGATCATGTGAATGATTATTTGGTGATTCATAATATTCAAATGCTTAATATGACATTTTGTATAGAAAATAATTAGTTTTGAGATTGATATTTATTTGTTCTAATTTATAACATAGATACTGCTAATCAGTATTTCTGAGCATGTGTGGGCACTTATTCTGTTGCATTAGTATTTCGAAATAGGAGGGCAGGCAACTACAAGATCGCGGCAAACAAAGACCTGAAAAAACTCAAGTAGGTGGATTTAAAACGAAACGGAGTATTTCAGAACCTGTAGAATTTAAGATGTGATTGCCGAGGAGGAAGATAGGAGCTGCTTGGAGTGTGTGTCAATGGCTTCCGGCAGGAGCGGGGCAGAAGGAGATGTCATTTTTGTTGATTGGCAGGAGGAGAAATTAAAAATCTGCAGGATTTAAAGTTATTTTTGTTTGACAGGATGGGAGGAAGTGGGAGGAAAACAAGTGTTACCACCTTAAATTGTTTCAGTTAGGAGGGGCTAAAGGAGGAGAAAGATGAGAGTTTCAGACATCTTTGTACGTTTCAATCCCATCATTTCTTCTGATTTTGGGTCTATCCGTCTTCGCTTTCGGCGTGCTCGATTGAATCGACAGGCAAATGAGGTTCTCTCCAATGAGATTTTAAGGTGTAAATATTAAAGTTTGGGTGTGAGATTTAATATGAGATGAGGCATTGATATATATACATAAATATATAGGGATAATTATGTACACACAAGGTGAAACTTTGATATTTACTAATTAACCATCCAAGTGATTTTTTGTTAACTGCCATACCGTTGTATTTACGCGTGCCACGATCAACCATTCAGAATTTGCTAAAAAAGAAAAATATGATTGACGTTTTATCATGAATTTTGATATTTGAGTGAGAATTTGAAAATGGATTAAACAGGGTGGGTGGTTGATTTGTAAATAGCAAATTTCGGGCCATGAATATGTAATTGCCCCAAACATATAATTTTTAAAATTAAGGATAGATATTAGAATGGAAATAATACAGAGACTTAAAGATACTTTTCATTAAATTGTAATTAAATAAGCTCAACTGTATTGGTCTGAGTGGTATAGACAATAAAAGTTGCTAATAACTACATTGAGCAGAATAGAAATGAAACGATAAGATAAATGTGTGGTTAAGGTAGAAAAATAGATTAATTACTCATTATCATGAAGGAGATAAATCAGTATGATGTATTTAAGATAAAATGGTGATAAATAAGCTTAAGATGTTTGAAAAAATACAAAAAAGTGTTGAAAATGCCCCGAAAGATGGGTAGATAAAATTGAAGCAAAAGGGTAGAAAATGGAGCAGAATTGTGAATCAAAATTCAAGCATGAGAGGTTAACACCTCATGAAGCAAGCAATAAGAATGAATAGAGAATAAGGATTCATAAAGCCAACTCCAATAGTTAGGAAAAGTATATTAAATATTAGGGACGCGTTAGAAATTTGTGATTCTAAAAATGTTGTATTAGATTTGGTATCAAAACATGACAATAAATTAAGGCTGTGTTTGGGGGCAATGGTGCGGTGACACACAAAATTTTCAAGCGTTTGACAAAACTGTGATTTGTTTGATTTTTCAAAAAGCTGCAGTGGGAAGCTGTGTTTCATAATCTGACTTCACTTAAGTGTAGTGACAGCCATAAAGATACGGTCTGACTTTTTGAAATTTTTTTTTTTGGCAGTAATCATTCATAGTTTTTTGAAATGCTTCTTCAAACAAGCCCTAAACATCGTCGCACAATTCTTGCCTTTATTATGTCTACCGGCTTCTAATTTTGTGCATGCAAAACCCATAGGAATGCTTCTACGTCACTTCAAAACCAAAGAAGTAACGTAAAAAGGAACATTTACGTCAACACCAACCAATTCTTATGCATTTACATACCTACACCAAAACCTTACTGTTTTACATTTATACCATCTAAATCTTTCGTATCACATAAAAAACACCATTATTTAACTTTAAAAAAAAGAAATACACCTTTTCACGCATAGGGAAGGTGGCATGGCATGCATGTAAAAATTGAAGTTTAGGTGCTATATACATAAACACATAGCAATTGAGTGGTATATATGTAAATCTTCCAAATAGAAATAAGCCCACAAAGAATAACATTAGGTAGCCAAAGTTATGAAGAAAAAACATACCATTATTTACACATCCGAGCAAAAAATCTATCTGAGAAATTACAACACTTCAATGATTCAAACAGAAGAGCCAGACCTTAACACTCTCTCAAGCTTCTCTGCTTTCACGTAGTCTTTCTCTGTGAGAGGTCCAGCAGGAAAAGCAGTAATCTCAACAACAAGATGAGGTGTTGGGAGCTCATCAAAGAGCGCTCTCACATTATTGCAGCACACACTTTCTCCATGTGCACTCTCCCTTCTTATTCGACAACCCTGAAAAATCTCAAAAAATTAGCAGCATAGAAATATTCAGAAAGATTTACATGCATACCTCTCAATTCTTATGTATTTATGTATCTAACACATAATCTTCGTTTTTTAGATATATGCCATCTTACCTGTACATGAAAAGGTGTATCGCTTTTTTTAAAAGTGAAAAGTGTCAAAATGACCCCCCCAGAGTCTATTAAAGTGTCAGTTTAGTCCCCAAACTCCTTTAAAAGGGGCTAAAATACTCCTCCGTGGAGGCTATTTCAATATGTATTAAAAGAGTCTTGAGGACTAAATTGACCATTTTATACTCCGAGACAAAAATGACCCGATGTAAATAGTCACGAGACTATTTTGACACTTTACTCAATATGCATGCATGTATGAATTGTGTTGTATGTATGTAAATGCCTAAAATGCTAAGGAAGCTGGCACATCTTTAAAATTACCTTGTGTGAGGTGGCATCTATGAAATGATCATCCTCAGAAAGCAAAGAGGCGATATTTTGGAGAAGACGACGACCTTCAGCCTTAGACGGTACCCTATAGCTACGCTTCAACGTGCCTTTTGTCGTAGGATGCCATTTGCTTACTAGTTTCCTTCTGTTCCTCGCTTCTTTTTCGTCTATGCAGAATGAATTAAGTGAATCATTTTCTTAAAGCTCTTGAGTTAATTCACATAATCATGTATATGTTCAGTTCCATAAACATTTACTATTTTCATTCGATCTCTATCACAATTTTAACTTTTAAAACCCATTTAAAACTGTAAATTTCTGACAAATATATATTTTATTTCATTTAAAAAAAAACATTATCTCTTGCATGGATCGTTCATGAATCCATATTATTCAAAGGTAAAAGCCACAACAATATTACAATAAGATAAAATCACATGAATCAGTGGAGAATTTTCATTCCACATGCCATCAACATGAGCAATGTCAGTAAAACCATGGTATAAAATAATAGGGACAATTACATACAAACCACCTGAAACTTGCTATTTATAAATCAACCACCCTCTTTCATCACTTCTTCAAATTCTCACCCAAATATCTAAATTCATGGTAGAACCCCAACCCATATTTTTTATTTTTTTAAATCAAATTCTCAATAGTTTGATCATGGAACAAATAAATATATCGGCTCTGTAGTTCAAAAAAACCAACTGGGTGCTTAATTTGTAAAAATCAATGTTTCGGGTGGTTTGTATATAATTATCCCAAAATAATAATGTCCAACAATGCAACCAAGATATGGATTAAAAATCCCATGCAGCATTGAGATTTCAAATTTTAGTTTATTTTCAATTCATCAAGCATTGAAACTCGGAAATATTGCATGAGAAATCACTAAAAAATAGTTAAAAGGTAGTAAATTATTGGATGGATCATGCATACCATCCAATTCTTATGTATTTACATGTCTAACGTTTAAACTTTGCTACTTACATTTATACCACCATTTTGACTTTTAAAAAGTGAAATACACATTTTCATGCAGAGATAAGGGGGTATGTATGTAAAAATTTGAGGTTTTTGATATGTAAATACATAAGAATTGAGTGGTATGTATGTAAATCTTCCTAATCTGTTTTACAAACCCTAATGCACAACTTCTTCAAGAGTTAAAAAGTAAAACATTTTGAACTAGAATTTGCTAGGCCTATCTCAAGCAGCACAATACAAGCCACATTCATTTCACATTTGATAGACATTAGTAAATAAACAAAACCAAAAAAATAATTTCTCTTGTTCTATCTTCTAGCATAAAAAACAAACAAGAGATGATGTAAAAAAAATGCAGGCATCAGTAAACAAATATATCGCAAAATCATCATATTTTCTTCACTTGACTATCACAGTTTGTAAGAATCTTGTGTGTGCACGGCTCGTGTGCGTCTGTGTGCATGTTCGTGTGCGTCTGTGTTATTTAATTGTGGGGAACGTGTAATGGAGTACAATGAATTAGAAAGTCTTATAAAATAGTAACCCAACTTTATAAGATCTTAAACTTCACAAACATTTTTTTGAAAATTAATTTTAATTTTTAAATATCATATCTATAAAAATGAATATTTAGATATTTTAATATGTAAGCTTATAAAAATTATATAATATCATGAAAAATAAAAACTCTATAATTCATTTAGGCACAATCAAACAGCTCATAAGTATTCAGAATATACTGCTTGCAAGCAGATAAAAGAATTCCCCCGCATTTACTTTACAAACAACCAAACAATTTCAAAATGTCTATAATCAAAATACTCTTAAGCCTTTTCCATTGCATCGCATTTATAGGAAACCAAACAATCCCCAACTATTATAACTTAAAAAAAACAACCAAAAGTAGCTGAAAAAGTAATTAATTCATTACATATAATCGAAATATCCAAAATGAAAAATGGGCAGAGAGTCAACAAACCTGATCCAATGCCCTGCAGGCTCTCAATCCATTTGAAAAACCCCATATCATCCCCATCATCCAACCCTAACATCCAAAAAAAATCCAATTTTTACCAAGATCTCCCCCAAAAAAAACTTACAACACAAGCACAAGCAGATGAGATCCTGTGATCGGCTTAACAATACTGACAAAAAAATCAAACCTGAGGAGATAAAAGGATTTGATGCGGAGCCAGCAAGGCCGGCTTTCAGCAGAGCGTAGAAGATGCAGAGCCTCCCGGCCCAGAGCACAGGACTCTCAATCAAAGAGGAGGATATAGCCCTTGCCCTCCTCTGTCTCGCCGCCCTAATATGGAAGTCGCCGAGTGATGAAAAGCTCTGAGAAGACGGGAGGAAATGGGTTTTAGTGAGAGAAAGCTGTCTTCCATTGATATGGAAACAGTGGAAGGGTGGAGATGGTGAGAGAAATGCGGATTGGAAGATATACAGATGCATGGCTTCGTTGTTATCAGCAGCTTTTGATAGACTGGGAGTCAATAGGAAAAAAATGAGTGCTTGCTGATGATTTTGCGTATGGTTTCTTTTGAGAGTGGGAGTCAATGTGGTGTTAAGTCCAACTTTTATGGGGATTCATAATGGATAAGGTGGATCAGTGGGTCTGTGCTCCATTTTTAAAGAGAAATTTAGGTGAATATCGCCAAATTTTATGTATTTGCATTGCTAACATTGGTTTTACGCTTTTAATATTTTGCTGTCATAATATTTATGCATCAAAGGATGTATTTAGTTTTAAGAAATTAGTCATGATGATTTTTTGATGTGAAGTAGTAAATTTTAGTGGTATGGATATAAATATAAAACCTAGATTTTAGATGCCTAAATACATAAAAGCTTCATGGTATTTATGTAAATACCCATTTTTTAAAAATTATTATACGGGGAAAGGAGGTCGTAGAGAGAGAGAGACGGACGCAGCGAATTTGCAAAACTTGGATTTTTAGTTAGATATGTGAGTCCATAGGAATAGAATGGTCTGTATGCTCTTCCCAAAAATTTTTAGACCGGTTGGTGTGGTCCGAGGACGCAGCGAAGTCTGGCGATTGAAGACGACGATGTCTTCCGACAGAAACCGGAGGCGAGTCCTCGATCAACAATCTCTGCCTCTCTTAACTTTACTCTCATCTTCGTTAATTGGAATCTCCTTGTCCTTTATCATCCCTCAAAATGGCAAATCTGTTTCTTCGCATGGTTTGAACAAACCCTAGTTTTTCTCCTCGGCGGCACACCCATCTGGTTTGATTGCTGCTAGGATTCCTTACATAACGAATCCTCTGCCACATTGGATACGCCTATTTAATTTATGTTCTCCATCGTTTTTAAACCGTCACCCTCAATTTTTATTTCTGAAATTTTTATCGAGAGTTGGTTTTTGTTGCTAACTTGTTTTCTGTGGCAACCAGTTAAATGAAACAAAGGAAGAACCCTTCCGTGCTTAATCGTGTATTGCTGAATTGTTCATCTCAGGTGTGTTTCCGTGATTTTTGGTATTTTGTACCTTTGTTAGTGATTGCTGGATACTTGGAATTCTTTGCTTGATAATTTCTGTTAACCGGATTAATTGAACTTGTTGATCTGTTCGTTTTGCTTTTATGACCATATTCTAGCTCAAGAAAATAAAATACGTTAATTCAATATATGGCCTGAATACATAGTTTTTGGTTCTACTTAAGGCCAAGGAATACGGGAAATGCATTTCTGGGAAGGTTCCTGAGATCGAACAGGGTATGTGCTCGAAAGAATTTCAGGCACTCAAAACATGCATGCAGGAAACGGTATAACCTGGTTCATGCTGGCAAATTTAATTTTGTAATTTAATCTCTCAGACATTGTTATTATAAATTTTATTGCATTCATTGATGACCAATTTTTGGAATTTTTCTGTTTCTAGATTAGAAAGAAAGTTTAGGGTTAGCTACCATTATCTTAGATTTGTAGCGCCCTTCTGCTGGAATATTTCCTGGATATCAAATGGTATGATTTGTTCTGCTTTTATTTTTTTTATGAACTACTTTGTTTTTAACCTACTATTCTACCCTGGAGAATTTTTATCCATGTTTACTATTTTTTTTCAGAATTTTCTTCGCTGAAAACTGCATCCACACTAATTACTTCTGTAGAAATCCAGTAGTTTGAGTGAGGCAGTCATGTTTGGAAGTTCATCTAGTGACCAATCTAGTTCAGGTTTAAGTGGTTCAGGTGCTCTATCCCATGTTTATATCAAGCACCCACCTTTGAGATGCAGCATTCCTGAAACACATGGAATTTTTTATGATGATGGGAATAAGCTAATTCTTTCTCCTACATCAGATCAGGTATTGCGGACTAATATACATTTTCACTGTCCAATTTATTAGCCCCACCGGGCTGAACTTGGTGATTTAATGAAGGTTTTCTTTGGAAGGTATTGTCATGGAAAATTGCTCAATGTTCCCAGTATGATCCACCCAATTCTGATTCAGTAAGTGAGGGTCCCGTGCTGTCTATTCGTTATTCTCTCGATAAAAAGGTTATATGCATTCAACGGTCAAATCAAGAGATTCAATTAAAAAATAGACAAACTGGCAACTCTTTTAGCTGGAAGTGCAAGCCAGAGTCCGAAAGTATACTTGGTTTTTTCTGGTCAGATTGTCCATCTTGTGACCTCATATGCGTAAAAACTAGGTATGTTTTTTATAATTATCCTTTGTAAACAGGACGCATAATATAAGATGTGTATAATTCTCAAGGCTTTTTCATTTTTATGCATGTTTTGTGGTTAGCTTTTATTTTAACATAACATTTCACAGTTTAGTTTACCTACATCTTATTGCTACCGACATGCAATTGTGTAACTGTCCTCAACATTGATTTATTACAGTTGTTTTTCCTTGGAGGAAGAATTATCCTCACTTTGTCCTCATATCTAGTATTGTTGCTTTTATAGAGATCACCATTGCCAAAAGAGTTTATTTCACCATTTAGGCCACATTGGTGCATATCTAAACTGGTTGCCATGTAGTTTTCTTTACGGCAAGGTTGCAGTCACTTTGCAAAACAATATAGGGACTTGTTTTAGTTCCTATATTGCCATTCTTTCTATATTAATCCTCTTTGGCATAGGAAACAGACGCCATGTTTTTTCTTTTTCAATTTAAAAAGTTACTTGGCATGTCATATTTATTTCTACATGAATCTGTGAAATTAAATAAGTTCAATAGTTTGATGCACGCTCATTGAGCTACATGCATATTTTCATTTAAGTGACAAGCAATTGTACTTGAGTTATGGCTCTTTAGTATTTCTTGTATCAGTGGAGTACATTGTTCGTCCATTTACCTTTTGTTCACGACAAAATATGAAACTAATAGGCACTTTAAATCTTAGAGTGCCAAAAAGCCAGACCATGCTATTAACTGCTGCATTCTTTTAAAAATTTGTTACATGAATAATGATCTTAGGATTAGGTTTGGTAATTGAGCAATAAATTGTCTATGATCATGGTTTTGCATTAGATAATGAAAAGATCGAATGTATTGTGCCCTTTGGAGTGTTAACAATGCAATCTCTATGGAAAGTTTGAGTATGGTGATTTGTAGATTGCATTGTCAAGGTTGAAGAAAATATTGCTAATAATAGGTGTGATTGGATTGACTAGACACCATAGGAAGGAGATTGAAACCACAAATTGGGTTGTTGGGTAAAACTTCAAATTTCTATAAAGAAGGAACAATTAAGTTTTGAACTTCTATTGATAAACTTGTTTTTGAAATTTTAATTTGGGATTAGGAGGATGAATCTTTTTGGAAACTTGGAATTGTATTATATGACTAAACTTATCTAAGATGCTATTTTAGGTAAGTCACCCCTTTTGGTGGACTATGTTTATGTTTGAGTTAGATTTATTTCGATCGTAATTACCTTTTTTATGACTAAAAATCATGAAAAAAAGGATAAAACCACATTTTTTTTTTTCCTTTGTTTTATATCTATGATGTTATTTGTCACACTCTAGTTGATCCCGCTTAGGGTCAAATAGTGGTACAATCGAGATGAGCGACTCAGTTAGACACAATTCTTACTATCACTAGTTCTGATACCCTAAGGGGGCGTGACATTATTAGCCAATACTCAATCTTCAAAGTTTATCCTAATTTTTTATTGTAGGAGTTGCATTTTATGAGTAGCATTCATTGTTAGCCTTTTTTTGTTTTTTGCTATTTTTGGCATAGTATTTTACTGCTTCTTACCCTATTACTCGCATCACTTATGTCACATTTCTCCTTCTATGCTCGATATAAACATGAATGCAAAGATGTAGATGAGGTGATGCTAGAATGGCCTTGGGAGAATGCAAATATTTTGAGGTAAAAGCTAATGTATAGATTATTACATACGATTAGACTATTGATGTTGACAATCTTCATGCATCAAATGGTTGATTATTTCATCTTGTATGTATATAACACTCATGAAATGGGTGCCTTCGCTTGACTAAAGTTAGGTTAACATGTTTTATCTAGTTAAATGCCTATTCGAAGTTGAATGATCATCAAGAGGTGACTTGGGAATGCTCTAGCTATTATTATGAAAAGACTTCTTGATGGGACATGTAGAAGTTTGGTGGAAGAAGTGGAATAATTTGACGCAATAACAAGGGCAATTTATGTAGTGGTACACCATAGAGTTTTGTCTCAAAAGCCTCTACTCGGGAAATAACTATTGGGATTGCAAGAACTCTATTGAAGTACACCTTAGGCTTTATTTGCAAATTTCATTTGGATTCAACTTATTTCTAATCATTTTTATCTTTGTTAGGTTAGTGTGATATGATGGTCATAGACCGCAAAAATTAAGGCATTAAAGAGAAAGCACTAAGGTCGTCCAAAGAGGGATTCAACTTTCCTACGAACAAAAAGAAGGGTAAAAAAGATAGTAATGTTGCAAAATTTTTTTTCCACTTATGAGTCAAGTGATCCAATAAAATTAAGTGATTATTATAAGATATCTGACCATATATGAGAGAGATGTCGAAAGGTGCACTGAAGCTTTTTCCTAAAATGTGGAGGTAAGATGGGAAAGAAAAGATAGCACAACAACAATAACGACAACAACAACAACAAAAATAACAAACCTTTATCCCACTAAATGGGTTCAGCTACATGAATATTTTTCTCCATTGTGTCTATCGAGTGTCATATTTTCATTTAATTCTAATAATGTTTCAAAATTTATATTCACTTTTAGGTCAAATACCTCTAGGAAATTAAATGATTATTATAATATATATGACTCTATTTGAGAAAAATTTTAAAAGGCGTATTCAAACTCTTTTTTAAAAGTGCTAGTAAGACGAGAAAGAAAAGATGAGTGCCAACACCATGCTTAGTTTTGTAGCTAAGGTATATTGTTGTCTGATGGCTATGTCGAAGGATATGGTGGTAGATCGTCTTCTAATTTGGACACAGAAAAAGGTTTTTCACTTTGAGAACCCAAGTCAGTTAGGTGATCAATGCCATAGCTGATGCCGACAAGTATAAGAACATTTTTTCTGGCATGGTATAAAATTGGTGTTGTATACCATGTCTTATTTAAGCCCTTAACCATTGTGCTTATTTCAAAAGGGGATTGAGATGGGGACTGATCATCAATGCCAAATGAAGTTTGCAATTACCAAGAACAACGTTAACAATATTCTATTTAAGATGGTTTTAGTTGACATCTTGGTATGCAATATTGTATTATTGGTCTTACTAATGCGAAATGACTATGGGTGTGAATTGCTTGCTGAATAAGGATTGTAGAATTCAAACTACATAATCATCCCAAGTCAAGCTACTAAAGTTATCAATGCTGTACAAAATTTTTGTACATTTGCTATCGAACCTGTGACATAGTAGTTTTGCTTGATTTGCATTGGGAAGCTTTGTAACTGTTCACCTACAATTGTTGAAAAGTGTAAAACACTCTTTAAGGAGGGGCAATGGTTGCGATCAAAGCAACCTTATAGCATGATATGTAATTGCTCTTAGACTACCAAACTTTTCGATGCAATCGAACTAAGCTATTAAGAATGAAGGAATCAGAAAGCAAGTTGTAGAATTTTTGAAGAATAGAATTATTCAACTTAGTAGTTTGCCTTTTCGATCATCCATTATGATGGAACTAAAGAAAGATGATAAATGAAGAGTGTGCCCATTATCGTGCACTCGATAAAATCATAGTAAAGAATCATTATCTGTTGTCATTCATCCAAGACTTGTTGGAACTGTTGAAGTCAGAAACAATCATTATGAAGTTGGAACTTAAATTTAGTTATCATTAGGTGTGCATTAGTGAGATGGAGATATGAAAGATTGCTTGCAAACATCGGCAAGGGTTGTTGTTACCATTCAAACTCTGCAATGCTACAAATATTCTTATGAGGATGATGAATGATATTTTGAGCATTTTTGTATGACTTTATTATTGTGCATTTGGATAATATTTTCGTTAAGTTGATCATGTGAAGAGTACTTGAAGCCTCTAAAAAAGATGTGCCATCTGTTGCACCAACATTGACTCAATCTCAATCAAAAGATGTGCAAATTAGTTAAGAAATCCTTCATTCATAATTGAAATGAGGTGGGCAATGGAGAGATCAAAATTGATCCTGAATGGTGAAAGTAACTGAGGACTGACCTAGATCGTAAATATAAGGTGTTATGAAATATATACCAGAGCAGTTGATGTGGTGTATATATAAATCAAACAGGAGAACGATCAACGAAGCGAAAAATAGAACGAGAAAAATTACACCCGAAAAGAACACACAGATTTACGTGGTTTTGCAAATTGCCTACGTTCACGAAATTGCAGAGGATTTTACTACTTGAGGAAATTTACACCAGTCGATCACCTCGACTTACAAGAGGATTCACTCACTCTTCGTTGCTCTCTCTTTTCTTCTCTCTCTGTTATTCTCTCTCTACACCGAGATACACCGAAGAAGACAAACTTACAAGAGAAATAAACCCAATTTCTCTTCTGCCACAAGCCACCAAGAAGAAGCCTAGGGAGAACAATCTTCTTCTTCTTCATTCTTCTTCCTTCTGCCGCAAGAAACTACTTCTTCATTCTTCTTCCTTCTGCCACAAGAAACTACTTCTCCTTGCACTTCTTCTCTTCCACTGTCCCGTGGAAACCCGGAGATAAGGAGTTTGATAGGAGCTTCCCAATACTTTCAAATAACACCATCAAAATCAAAGATGACAATGTAAGCGGTCTATAGGCATGACCAAATTGTCAATCAAACGAATTACATGGGAGGTTTAAGCTGTTGGATGTTGGATTATTGGATCATACTTAAAGAATACAATAAATAATGATGCAGATAATGAGAGTTTAAATTTTGATGCTTTTTGGATATGCTTGTTTATGAATTTGTAATTCATTATTAGGATAATCATGCCGGAACGAACTATAGAGTATAGACAGTGAAGTTATCTTGGTTGTTATTATAGGTATGTTTTCCTCATTTGTTGGAGGTTATTAGTCATGGTTTGAATTTATCCTTATTGTAATTTATCTTATAAAGAGTAGAAATCATTTGAAAATGGTAATAAGCAATATTTTATTCTCTTTCCTATTTATATTCCACTTTTTCCTGCTATATTCCTTCTACCATGTTGAGGACAAACCACCATTGTAGAGCTGTCCATGCTTCATAAAAATTCTGTAACATGTATAACAATTTTTAGTGGCAAATCTCATATTTAAAATGCCCTTCTCTTTGTTATTACTGCCGATGCATAAATTTGGTAAACCCACCTTTCAAAAGTTGTATCCCTAGTTGGTTTTTACTATGAGTGTCTCGTTCATTGTTTTACTATGAATTTTTATATTGTGCATTTGGATAATATTTTCGTTCAGTTGATCATGTGAAGAGTACCTGAAGCCTCTGAAAAGAACGTGCCATCCGTTGCACCAACATTGGCTCAATCTCAATCAAAAGATGTACAAATTTGTTAAGAAATCCTTCATTCATCATTGACATGAGGTGGACAATGGAGAGATCAAGATTGATCCTGAATGGTGAAAGTAACTGAGGAGGGACCTAGATTGTAGACATAAGGAGTTTGATAGGAGCTTGCCAATACTTTCAAATAACACCATCAAAATCAAAGATGACAATGTAAGCTGTCTATAGGCATGACCAAATTGTCAATCAAACGAGTTACATGGGAGATTTAATCTTTTGGATGTTGGATTATTGGATCAAACTTAAACATTACAATAAATAATGATGCAGATAATGTTGAGTTTAAATTTTTGCGCTTTTTGGATATGCTTGTTTATGAATTTGTAATTCATTATTAGGATAATCATGCCGGAATAAACTATAGAGTATAGACAGTGAAGTTATCTTGGTTTGTTATTATGGGTATGTTATCCTCATTTGTTGGAGGTTATTAGGCATGGATTGAATTTATCCTTATTGTAATTTATCTTTTAAACAGTAGAAATCATGCAGAAAATGGTAATAAGCAATATTTTATTCCCTTTCCTATTTATATTCCACTTTTTAGTGCCACATTCCTTCTATCATGTTGGGGACAAACCACCATTGTAGAGCTGTCAATGCTTCATAAAAATTCTGGAACATGTAAAACAATTTTTAATGGCAAATTTCATATTTAAAATGCCTTTCTCTTTGTTATTACTGCGCGATGCATAAATTTGGTAAACCCACCTTTCAAAACTTGTTTTACTATGATTTTTTTATAATTTATCCTAGTGGTTGTATGCTTAGTTTTAGACATTTTGGAGTTAAAGCCCCTTTTGATGGCGGTTCTCTTTTCTATTGGACCCAAAACTTGAGATTTCTCATTTTTCTAATTTCAACCAAGCAAATATTTCTTGGGTTCTTTTGATCGCATTTCTCCTTTATTTTTAATAAGGGTTTTTGCAGCGGTATAGAATTGCTTTTGTATGATGCTGAGTTGAACTCCCTCCGATTAATGGAAGCAAAACGTTTCAATGTGTGCTGGTATGTCTACACCCATGAAAGTCGGATGGTTCTTCTTGCCTCTGGAATGCAATGCACAACTTTCTATGGATATCAGGTATTCATTTTAGATTGGAACTAACCATTTATATTAAGGTACAATGACCGTGAATAACATTGGTCTTATTATTATAATAATTATTTTGCTTTATTTTAGCGATTATGTGGCAGTGATAATGGAATAGAATATTGAACTCCGTTTAAAATGCATTTATTGCTTATGGGCTCAAAAGAACTTACCCGATTTCAAATTATGCGTGTTCGAGATAGTTTTTCATGGGACAAACTAATTAGTATTAATATTAATACATTGAGATTTTACCCTCATATAAATATTATATTTTTCGTTAAAGGCTGTATGGGCGTGAGCCCATTAATTTGTTCCCTTTAGATCATGGATAAAACTTTTTATTATAAATATTTGGGAGGTTCTTCATTAAACATTATTCAGAAATGCATTCTTATTCTGTTTGACCTGTAGTGTTGATTTTATTTTGGGTTGTTCTTATCCTTAGAGGTGGTTAGGGGAAAGAGGCAAAACCTAATGAAGATCCTCATGATTCTATCATTCTGATTCTGCTGGCATATCTCAATCTAAATGGTTAGAGGAAGTTATTCTTTTTCTTGACTTTAGCATTGTTGCTAGCAACATTGGTTTTCTTCTCCATGGGGGCCTCATACGTGTCTTAAAACTTGCTGAGTTGGCCGCTTCAATTGAAAACATTAATTTACAAAGAGCTCTATATCATATTGGACGCTCAAAATACTGACTTACACAGTGCTGAAGACCTAACAAACAGTTTCTACAACATCGTTTTGATGAAGCTACTATATGCAGAGCCAAGCATTTTTGATATTCAGTGCTTCTTTCTGAGTTTGGTTTGATTGCATTATTATGAAGTTATGAAACATTTTATTTAATTGATTTTTATAGGATTTTTAGCAATTTTCTCGAATGGATTGAATTTTGTCTTTTGTTTGAATTTCAGTTTAAATTTGAGAAGTATGGCTTGTAATTAGGGTTTAAGAAGACCTTAGATGCCAAGGCCCTTAAACCCTGTACTTTTCAGTTGAATGAGAATTTTTGAAATTTTGATTTTGTTAATTGCCTAATGCAATACTCGGTTTCCTTGCACCCTTATTTATTTTCTTTTGAAATCTTTTTGCCCTCTCACATATAATCAAAAGTTTCTCTTTTTTTAGATATCTCTCTCTTTACCATCGGAATTAAATTCCCAGTTTTGCAGCTCTCATGATTTCCTTTCAGTATTTCTAGATTATCTCTTTTACTTACATTGCAGTTGTTTGAAATTTAGTTCTTTCTGTTCATGATTTAGTTCTCTAACTTTTATGTTTAACATGTTGATTCAAATACCATATGCTCTAAAAGATTTCTTCCTACTGCTCCGATTTTTCTTCTTTCCTACCTAAGCCCTATCACATAAACCATCCCAATTCCTAATCCAAAAGTCATCTTGAAATCCAATTTTTACGTCTTCATACAAACTTTTATATACTCATTGTTATTTTTTTCTTGCCTGACTTGAAAATAGCACTTAATAACTGAATTATGTGCAGTGAAATGTTTCTTTAATCAATAAATAATTTATGTATTGCATCGAACTTGTCTCTGAAAGAGCAGATCAGGCTCTCTTCATGACTGAATTCCCAAATTTTTTTTTATTTTAAAATTTACCTGATCCTCATGTTGATCAAGTTTCATTCACCCTTTCATATACCAAATCCTGTCAAGTACAAAACATATATGACTTAAGAGCTTTTACATGGTAAACTATGGCACGCCAATTTCTAAATTAAAAAAAGTAGTTATTTCTATCCTGCATAGCAGGTGATCATTGTGATTTGCATATCTTATATCTGCTTTTTAAGATAATGAAAGCCAAAGGTGGAATCATGTATGCAATTCAACCATTAGGGACATTGAATTTAAAATGAAGATACAAAAAATGAGCAGTTGTTGGCATGATATAGACTAGACAACTTAAACCGTGGGTTAAAAATAGAATATGATTCCAAACATGTAAATGAAATGGTGATACTATGATATAATGAATTATATGACGTAAACTACTTTACCAAGGTGTTAATTCACCTGCAAGCTTTGAAAATCTAAACAAACACATTGAAAAATTATAATTAGTAATTAGTATTATGCAAAAGATTGGAAAACATATAAATCAAGTAAAGATAGCTCATTATATATATTATTTTCATTAAATTTATTAATTTCATGAATATTTAATTTAACATTTCTCGTGTATACTAGGGGTTTAAATGAGTTGAGTTGAGCTCAAACCACACTCTTGTTGAGCTTGAGATTGATTAACTAATCGAGTTCAAGCTTGAACTAGAGCTTAATTCTACGAGCTCGAGCCGACTTTCTTATTATGAAAGAGAATGATATTAAGCCAAGATGATATTATAATAAAATGAAAAATAAAATAAGCAAATTAAAGAGAAATATAAGAAATCACTTGATAAAAATATAAAATAAAATTTTTTAATATTTGTAATAGTTTATAGATAAAGTTTTGAATTTTAATATATTTTGAGTATATTTTCTATTATTATTATTATTTTAAAATATTGTTGGCTCACAGCTAATGAGCCGAGTCGGGGTTGGCTTGAGCTTGACTTGTTAGCTTATTGAACTCAACTCATGAGCCACTTATCGAGCTAAGCTTGAGCTAGCTCACGAGTCGACTTGGCTCAGTTACACCCACAGTATCAATTATCTATTTTGCTCGTATCTAGTCATGAGTATGGGTTATTGCACAATTTTTAGAGAACAAAAATTTAAAAACGCATTAATAACATAGTTCCTTGCATTAAAAATGGAATCAGATGCAATGGCAGATATTTGAAACACCAAAATATATCATGAAATTTGAAATATGGTTGAAATCTTGGTGCGTAAATCTTTTGCCATACCAAAATATTGAAACCTTCTTCCACGACTTTAGATTATTCTGTTAAAAATGTCTGTCTACTTTATTGTTTGAGACATCTTTTCTATTATTTTGTCCTTTGAACTTTTTCACAATTATATATGCCTTCTCCTGTTCTATTGCAATTTGCTTGGGCTTTCATTTGATATTGCTTCAAATCATTTGGATTCTTGTCCCTACTTTCCTCAATTATCTTTATCCTGTTGTCATAAACATGTCATAGCATTTTCTTTATCAATTTTTGCCAAATATACCCCATTAGATCTATCATAAATATCCATGATAACAAACACAACCTATCAAAATTTAAAGCAAAGATTAAACAGAACTATAAGATTAATATTGAAATTCACCTTTTTTGCCACTATGTCAATAATTATGAAATTTTGACTACATCTTTTTAGCCGTATTTCTCATATTAGGAGTATTATCCTTTTCTAACCTTGAAGAAGACACAACGCGTAAAAAATTTTAATCTCTTTTGATAACTAGAAAGATGTCCTTAAATTTATAATAATTGTTGCATGCAAAAAATTTGTGGCAATAAAATTTGGGTTTTATTTTCTTATCTTGCTCAAATATTCCACAAATAAGTACATAAAGAAAAAAAGTACAAGAGACATAAAAGTTTTACGTGAAAAATCCAAAAAATAGGGTTGCCAATTCAAGTGAATGTGTCGGGTTCATGTATGAGCCAAAGTTGACCCAACTGGAATATGTATGGCCTGAGCTCAACTGCCTACAACATGATTTACTATAGCCTGACCCAAATAACCCCCCATTTAATATACTTATAAACAATTATAAAACATATTATAAATGAAATATATAAATGTATGATAAGAATTATGGTATCAAATGGTAATGGTGAACTAATAGAAATAAAATTAGATGTACAAAAATCATATGAGTTGGCAGATCCTAATTTGGTTGGCAGGTCGACTTGACCCATCCTGACCTAAAAATTGTATGAATTAGAATTTTCAGCCCTGGCTTAACTCAAAAGTTAATTGGATCAACTTGATTCTAAAATTTTTCAGGTTGAATTCATGTCAGGCTATTACGTCTTATCGTTTATTTTCACCCCATACTGAAAATTGAAATGTCTTATTTGGAAGAAATAATTTACCGTGTTGGTTGAAATTGTAAAAGGTCCGTCTTTACTTTAATTGATAAATAATAAAATAAAGCACTTAGAATTTGCTCATTCCTCTGTGACATGAAAATAATAGAGATGAAGATGAAAGTTGAGCAATATTGATTGGACGATAATAAAAACGATGTTGGTCAACCAACTATGATTGAGTGATGGTTATCTGACGACGACAATATGATGATGGTGGCTAGATAATTGAGAGGCAGACAATGATAGTTGCTAGTGGTGTTGGCATTGGATGTCAGGTAGAGCTTTAAAAATTTTTAGATCTCTAAGCTCTCTTCTTGATTTTAAGTTTCCTTTATATATATATATATATATATATATATATAGATAGAATGTGTCTCTATCCATAATTTTTTAAGAATGGCATTTTAGTTATTTTGGTTAAGTATCTAAACACTCCATCAAATGATTTATGTTAATTCCTTCTACCATAAATTGTTTTTTTATCATTTTAAGGACCTTAGAATTAAGTAATTTTAGGCCATTGAATTCTTCTTGTTAAATTTTCAATTTGACTTTAGGCATGTAGCTTCATATATGGTTTAACCCTTCAATTAATATTTTGAAATTTTCATTCATATTTCAATTCCAAAAAAAAATAACAACACAAACAAGGCTTTATCCAATAAGTGGGGTCAGATACATGAATTATTTTTCTCCATTATCTCCAATTCAAAAGGGTAGAGGCAGACCTAAAAAAATATTGGGCATGTTGCATATAATTTTCTGTAAAGTCCAGGTGGTATCGTTCTATCACACAATAGGCCCAATGCATTCCTCTACTTCATTCATCCAACTTGAATTCTACTAATAACATCCCCATCTATATCACCATCACTTTGAATAATAGGTCCGAGATAATGTTCACTCCTTTTAATGACTTGATCACTTATAATTACAACCCTCTATTAGATTTACGACTACTAA